AGCAAGTTAACTAATCAATCCCGCTGGGATGCTGCCGCAGTTTTCTGCAGCAGCCCTAATTGCAAAGCAATGGAGTGTACTAAAACGTTTGCTGAAGCAGCCTCAATTGCAAGGCAATGGAGTGCACTAAAATGTTACCTATTCTCTAATAGAATAGGTAAAAATGCAATATTTTCGCATTTAGCAAAATTAAAATAAGTTGTTCGCTGTAAAGTGAACTGTTTTGGCAGTTTCAACTCGTTATTCTTTTCGCTCTATTTGTTTACTTGTGGTGCACAAATGTCAACGCTCAGGACGGCGCAATCTTGTATTCTATCCATTGTGTACAAATACAAGTGAGATATCTTAGCAATAGACGTCATCCTGGGCCACAGCTGCGATCATCTGTTTTTTAGAGTTGCTTATTTTGGTCTAAAGTGTGCTTTTTTGACCTGAGTTGCATTAAATAGTCTCTTAAAACTTGGTAGTATTTGTTGTTCAAATGGTAACATATATGCCCAAAAACTTGAAAAATATTAGATGATTGCTTTTTAAAAATGCTATTTATAAAATTTGGTTTTGATTGCGACATTAGAAATATTCAGATTATAAAAGTTTTTCACATATGTTTTAAGATTTTAAAGCTTTTAAAATGTACGGTAGAATGCAACAATGTGCTTGAATTTGTTTGCTTCTTCGTCAGCTTATTCGTTTGCAGACTAGAAAAATGGCGAACAGCCATCAAAATACTGATTCAAAATACACACAAATGGGTGCGCGCAGCAAAATTCAGCCCTAATGGTAAGTTCATTTCATCGTGCGGCGACAAGTTAAGAATTTGCGATACATTTTCAGGCGAATGTATGCGAACGTTCACCGGGGGAAGAGGTATGGGACGACAGCTGGCATGGCATCCAGACGGCAATCTGGTGGCTTTAGCATTAAGTTGTAACCGCGTTAAGATATTTGACAAAGCTGAAGGCGAGCTAATACAGTGCATTCGTCGCCGGAGAATGATGTTGCATTTCACCCAAGTGGAAATTTCTTGGTGACTGGCGGCGATGACGATACAATAAGATTGCTTGATTTATTAGAAGGTCGGCCAATTTATACACGGTAGTAGTGCACTTTAGCGGAACCATATAAAATACATTTTTTCCTGTATTCAACAGTTGCCCGTTTGGAAATCTAATTTGCATACATTTGATGCCAATAGCGCGCAACAAACAAGCCAGTTCTCAAAGAGCCCAAATTGATTTTAGTCATGCAACAGCTCCACATAACTCCGCCATAGACACACCAGTTGCTGGAGTACCAAAAAGCTGTGATGACAGTATTTTAATTGATCCACGACAATCGGTGGCATATGGAATGCGTGATGGAAATTTTCTGGTGCTTGATAGCCAATATACTACAAGAGTGAAACGCTACAAGTGAAACGCTGTGATAGTATTTTTTCTTAAATTTTCATCTTTTATTTGCAGTTACATTAAGAAGCTCATAGAGGACAGAGCGGTTGGTGAGGAAGGTGTCGAGTTACTGCTGTACTGCAACTGGGAAAATCCGCATTTCGCACGTGCTCCACTCGTATGGAATAGTAGCTTATGTCGAAAGGCTGGTTTTAGTATAATGCGGCATTCGCAGCATACCCTCACTGGCGCCGAGCCGTTGAAGAAATTTTGGATAAATAAACGTGCAAGAAATAGTTCCGATACTAGCACGTCCATATTCTTGTTAAGGGTCATCAAAAAATTCCTTGTGTTGTAAATAATAAAGGGAATGCCGGATTATACTAAAGCCAGCTTCCCGACATAAACTACTATTCCATACGAACACAGAAATATAAATGTATCTAAAACTGAATAACTCAAATCAAATTGGATTGCATATACATAATATACCTAATATTGGAATCTGTTTTGATCGTAAAAAATACAACTTGCAATCATTTAGATTATAGTTTTGAAAGAAATTGATTGCAATCGTAAATTATGTAAAAATTGTCAATAACAATCTGCCTAAAATTTCTTTTCCCCATGTAACGGTTATAAAATACGTTAAATCCGCACTATCTGCATTAACAAAAAATATACATTGGAATATTTAAAATAAACCGATTCATATTTATTTTCTAATAAGAATTGTTTCTTAATTGAAAGTATTTAATACTAATATAATGTAGTGGTTAATGTTTAAAAATGAATTCGCAATATGTCCGCAGCTCAGGTTGATTTGAAGAAATCCGTTTAAATTTTTCGAATTACATCTACTTGAATACAGGATAGGCAGGGTTGCATACAAATGGTAGTTCCGTAAATATTTAAAATATGTTAGTTCATTCAATATTTGCATCTGGGCCAATAAATAATAACAAATATAGCCGAAAAAAACAAAGTTTCAATTAAAACGAGTTTTTATAACCCCCCATAAAATTCCGATTAATTTTAAATACGAAAATAACGATATTTTTTCATGGAGATTTATTTTTTTAATATACCTTGTTTATACCTACACAAAAACCGGATTAGCAAAAAACCGATTGGACTCAACATATATTTCTTTACAGCATTTATCCCCCTGTCTTTATAGCGCACTCGATAAAGTCTTATTCAAAAGTAAACAAAATTGCTATTTTTAAACGACATTTTTTTAATAAATAATTTGCGCGGTTGACCGAAATGGAAACAAACAATAATTGTAATTTATTATAACAATAATACGAATTTAAAACGGGCTGTATAAAGAAAACCAGCCTATTGTCACTTCACTTTCCAATGGTGCTGATTGCTGCAAGAATTATTTAGCGATTTAGAGCATAATCAACACAATATATGCACATAAATATGTATTATTTCACAGATCTCAGGGTCAGCTTAGAACTACGTTGCCAAAATTATATAAAATTTAAGTAGGAATTATTTTTATTTATAACGTAAAAGCGCTATCTGACCCAATCTGATAAGTATATTTCCCCTAAAGTTAACCCATTTTATTTAATTTGTCTCTCGTGAAAATATATATTTTATTTAAAATTTTTAGATACTGAGGGCTCCAGTAATCCCCAAATTTCTGCGTATAGCACGAAAAATTGTAGTTGAAAGGGTAAGTTTATGAAAAGGCATTGATGAGTGGCAACAGTGTAGTAAGCAATACTGAGGGCTCCAGTAATCGACAAAATTCTGCGTATACAGACTGCGTTTAAGTATACGTTCTGCGTCCTCGACTAATTTCAGCTTTAGAAAAGAGTGGTTAATCACGTATATCGAAGGTTCGAAATTTCAGACTTTGGTATCGATACTGAGTACTCATTCTGGCATCGAGCTCATGGTATCGATACTCTAAAAGTATCAGGCAAAAAGTATCGATACTACTCAGTATCGAACTCATTAAAATACGTTTTTTGGGAAACTAAAATTATTTTATTCTTCAATCGTACGTATGTCTAGTTATCTCCTGAAATTAAAACAATACAAATTTAAAATATTTGATTTTTATTTCATTGCAGAACTTACTTTCACATAAGAAGTAATTTTAACGTTAAATGTACATACACACATACATAAATATATACATACATATACATGATGCAATAATACAAGATGGTATCAATTGTGACAGTTCGATTTGACACTGCCTTAGCTCAGTAGAACGAGAAGAAAAACCGGAAGAAATTAAGCCCCATTTGGGGGAAAAATATAAAATTTAAAATTTTTTCCTAAACAAAATTTGCTTTTTTTATAGTATATTCGTAATGAAATTAAATAAAATAAGATAAAATACCTTTTTAAGAAAAAAAATGTGTATACTGAGAAAAAATAAAAAAATAATCAACTATATTATTAGGCAAAGAATTGTTAAAGAAGTAATACTGTCTCACCTAAGGCAGTCAATATGGCGGAATTAGAGCGAGAAGTTGCCAACTGATAACACCTGTATTATTACATCATGATAGATATATATATACTTTCCGTTATAATACGGATTAAAATTTTGCGCGCAAATTCAACAACAACGACATGATCCTCATAGAGATCTGGTTCAATTATTATCCGTTCAGTTTGTTTTGTTTCACTGATAATTTAGCCGCAAAGTTTGGTAGCCGCGACAAATGAATTCATACACAAACAGACATTCTGCCATTGTTTCTTCGAACGTGGTTCAAATTAATCGCCTTTATGCTATATGTATTTTTATTTAAATAGATATTATCTCATAAATATAATTTTTTCCCTTTTAGTGAGTTAGTTTCCAAAATTTCTTTATCCTCGTGCTAGTAGTATAGAGTTAGTGATACTGACCTCAATAACCAAAAAAACACGACTATTGTCGCATGTGCAAACGAAAAGATAGAGTGGTCGTTCATGTAACAGAGTGTGTAAACTTATAAGATTATCTGCTTGATAAAGTTATCGGTTTAGATGAATACCACTAAAGTTTTTAACCGGTACAAGGTCTGGATCCGTCAACCTACCGACAGGCCCTGAACGGCATTCACAGGGAATCAGTCTCAAGTTATATAGACTCCCGCCCTGTGAATGCCGTTCTAGGCACACAACCACCGGACGTGGACGTGACAGAACTTTGTCTGCCTCGGGAGACCCGCACTACCATAGCCCAACTTCGCTCTGGCTATTGCAGCAGGCTCAACTCCTACTTGAGCAGAATCAACGAGGATGTGCCCAACCAATGCCCGGCATGTGGAGACTCGCCACATGACTTCCGGCACCTCTTCACATGCCCTGAGAACCTCACTCAGCTAACACCCCTGTCCATATGGACAGCCCCTGTGGAAGTGGTACACTTCCTGGGCCTCCCCCTAGCTAAATTGACGACAACGTAGATGGATGAACCGCCCCGAACGGGGCTTAGTAGCCGCTACAACAACAACAACAACCGGTACAACAGTGTGTAGCGAAACGAGTTGCAACCGATTGCTGCGATCTGTTGCCTGTCTGTGGCTCGCTTAAGGTGCTAGAAAGGTATAGAAACAAACCTGTAATAATTAGGGCATTGCTGCTGGCAATGCTTCGTGTATTTGTCATAAGCGTAAAATAGGAGTGAAAGAAAATTTTATTGATGTTCTGTTTTAGTTTACCAGACTTTTTTTAATCCTCGATGCAATGGAGCTTTCTACAGATCCATATGAACTTAAATTATTTCAGATGTTTCAAAGTTGTGTTAAAGAGCAGTGTGGTTTACTGGATGAAGATTCGTTACATCGTTTGTGCAGCCTCTTGGAGCTTCAGGACAAAGGTGCTGTGCTGATTGCGGATTTATCTGGCAACGGTCGTGTCTCATTTGATCGTTTCAAAGAAGCTCTATTAAAATTTCTTGGTGCGGAGCTGGAGTTAGATACAAAAGAACCAGTTTCAGATTCGGGTACATGCACTCGCGGTGATAAAGCCATTGCACCAGCGTCGTTCGTCAGTACCAGTAACAGTAGCGATTTAGCAGGTGCCTCAGGTAAAGTAATAACAACCACCATCACAAATGATTATCACTACTTCGCACAAAGTCACTTTGAGAATACGGATAATTGAAGTTATGTAATTTATTACATGCATACATGCGTTCAAATGGGTTTCTTTTTTGTGGTTTGCCTGGCCGGGACTCTTAGGGCCAAAAAACGCCAGGTTGTTCTTCTTGAGTGTTGGATACTCAACTTTGAATAGTTTGACGTATGACAGTAGTATCACGGATTGGTTGCTTGACGATTTACTTGTCGTTAACGAAGAATTTTTTGTGAAAAGTTTGTACCAAATCGCGTTCGTTTGGACAAAAAACTTGGGTAAAAGTGCACTTTAGCGGAACCAGTCCAAAATTGATGAAAAAATGCCATCGGGGTATTAATCGATGAGTTTTAACGCAAATAATAATAATCCGAAAGCGGAAATTAACTTTTTTAATTAATTAAAGAGCTATTTGCAAAAAACACTTGCGCTACAACAACAACAATAAATGAAACTTGGACAGGGGGGTATCCTTGTTGTTGTTGTAGCGGCTCTAAACCATGTATTACTATAAAAAAAAAAAACAATATATGTAATTGTTTATAAGTTTTTTGTTCTATAAATTTGTTAAGTCGTTCCACCTGATTTCCTTATCAAAAAGTACATTTGTCACATACTTTGGCTGAGTTCCAAGTTGCATTAATGGAAAGCATCAGCCTCTTTTATATCTTAACTATAACTGATGGAAAAGTCCAATTGCCGAATTGGAACATAGTTGCGCAAATTTGACATTTCCATCAATTATAGTTTAGAAATAAAAGAGGCTGATGCTTTTTCTACTTGGAACTCAGCCTTTCATATATATAAATGCACATAGCACTCCACTTAATACTTTAAATTCTTTTATTTTATTTTCTCTTGTCGGTACAAAAATCAATTTAGTTCAACTTTTATTAACTTGTAAATTACATTAATAGTCTGTTCCTTTGAACTTCGGACTAAAACCTGTGGAAATGTCAAACTACAATTTTACGCTCTCAAATGAGAGTAAAAGGAGAACAGATGCAGAAGTGCATAGGAACGCAAAAAGCACTATTTCCTGTAAAAACGTCAGACGGTTTGTTTACATGTCATTGGTACTACACTGATTTAGCTGAAATATCACTGAATAATTATTAAAATCTATACATATTCAAATATTTCGTTGTTTACTTCCATTTTTTAACAAATAAAAGGTTCTTAGCTTTCACCGCTTTCAGTTTTTGTTTGCACATGTAAATCAGCTGATCGTTTGACACTTTTCATGAACTTACAGGAAAAAAATCTCCGGACTAAATCCTGTAACTTCTGACTAGGAACAGTTGCTCATTTACTCTCTCAAATGTGTTCCCACTTACAGGTTTTGTGTCAATAGGAACGACTTCCTGTAAGTTCTGACTAAATCCTGTAAACCGGACTGCTATTGGAACAGACTATAAATTGCATTCAAATTCACAATAACACATGGTTGCAACAACACATACAAAAGAGGCAATGCGTAAAAAAAAATAAAACACAGAAAGGAGAATGGGAAATATTCCGAATAGTGTCTGTTGGTTAGGGGCTGGTACAAAAAAATGAAGGGGGCGTGGCACCGCCCACCTTTACAGCTTGAAAGGGCAAAGATCAAGGAATTCAATGGTTCAATGGTTTTTCTCCTCCGACTACCGGACTCCTCAGTCGGGCCTCTTAAAAATGGGGGAAAAATCGTTGGTTTGTAGGGCGTTCATTAAAGGGGCGGTGGGCGAAGGGGGAGTGGGCGTGACCCACCTTTTTAGAGAGGGCATGAACCGCCTTTGACAAAACTGCAACCCCCGACCATCTAGGCCCCCTAAGGGACCCTAGGGACCCCTTAGAAAAAAGGCCAAAAATCACAATTTTTACTTGCGTCCGCAGTATTTTTGCGTAGAATTCCTTCGGCCGCGCTTTAGGTTTATAACCCTTACCAAATAGAATTCTCCTTTTGGTGTGCACCAACTAGGGCTACCGCCCCAGTGATGTAGCCTTGGGTAAAGGGAGAATGGGGAGAGCGAGCGAGCAGTTAGTCAAGTACGAACAGCCAAGCGGAACGGTTCAATAACCGGACAATCGAATTGAATACTTAACTCTGTATCAGATAATTTATTAAAAAACATTCTATTTTACTTGTTATACTACTACCCGGGTTACATCTTGACAGATTCAGAGCGGGTATAGAGAACGCATACAGGAGTTAAAAATTGTAAGTAAATTTACAAAGGAAAACGTGAATACAATACGGAGCTGCGTCACCAGAAAAACGAAATAAGCTGTGCAACATACCCAAAGCACATACGTACATATTTCGAACGCGGTGGCGCAGCAGCAGAACACTCGTAAAGGAGAAGGTGTAAACGGAGCGAGTGAGGGGCACGTAAACGCACATACACGCTCACAACACCGACGTTATATGCGAAAGAAAAGAACGATCAAAAAGTGTAAGGGAGCAACGAAGGTGCAGCGGCATACCATATAATCGCTCAAATTACCAACGGCGGGTACGCAAGCAAACGATTCAACGAAGAAAGAGTAAACGTCAGCAACGACTGTGCAACGAACAGGCACATAGGGAAAAACAAACGCAAAAGGAATTGACAACGACGCTCAGCTACTAATGAGAAAGGAAAAGGGGTGATAGCAAGCAGTGCATATAGAAACATTGAGAATTAAGGGGAATTGCGGAAGAAGATTAAAAAAAAACTACGCCAACGAACAAAGTAGGCTACGGAAGAAAGGGCTTGTGGCGTTTTTTTGAGGAAGAAGATTTTTTGAAGTGGCAAGCAAGGAAAAGGTACAGGTCGCACGAGTACAGCAGCGAGGATGAAATTGGAAAATTTAAATGTGCTATTGCGGAAGTATGAATTGGCGATTAGTGGCAATAAAGCGCACAAAGTAGCAGCCCTTATGGAGGCGTTAGGAACAGACGAGGTCGAACTATAGGAGGTATCATCAGTTGAACCATTCCATCAGTTGCCATTCAACCAGCTGCAAGAGCTTGTTTAAGTTTGGCGAACTCCGTAAAAGCTATTGAACTGGCGCTAAAGCCAGAAGCAGCGGCACGAAACAACGATGGAAATGAGTCGGTAAGAACGGGAGCAGCAACGGAGGGCGGAGTAGAGGCTCCTGAACCCTCACCGCAACGAGGCCTACCAGTGCAGATGGTGCATACGCAAAGTGTATCAGAAGTAGTGGGAGTCCTTCAAGAGTTTGACCCGGTACGGAAAACGATGACAGCGCAGCAGTTCGTAACGAAAGTAGAGGAAGTACAACAAGTGTACTGTTGGAATAACGAAACCGTGCTTTTAGCAGTTCACCACACGTTGAAAGGAGTTGCCAAGAATTGGTTAGATGCGCAACCTGTGTACAAAACGTGGGCGGAATTTGTCCAAATGTTATTGAAGGACTTTCCGTATACAGTGACATCAGCAGACGTTCATCGGGAGTTGGCAGCACGACGGCGTAAACCAAACCAGACACTCATAGAATATTTTTATGAAATGCTGGCGATAGGAAGGCGTGGCGCCATTGATGAGGAATCATTAAATTCCTACGTTATCAACGGCATAAACGACATTACGCTCATGCGAACGTTATGGGCAATGAATGTGCGAACAAGCAACGAACTAAGGCAGTCCCTGGAAAGTATGCGTGCGACGACCCAAGGGTATGGACAACTTGTCACTCCATGTACTAACTCATCGTATACGTATCTATCAGACGTGAGCGGACGTGTTTTTGTGAGCGGATGATTTGAATCAATAAGTTAGTCGTTGAAATAATCAAAATAGCGAAAAAGGACGCATATTTACTTTTAATTAGTGGCATGAGTGCAGTGAAATAGCTTTGAGATGGGCTTGAAGTGCGGAAAATGCAAAGTAAGCTCGCGGGATGCCACCGTCCCGTGGTGTGGAGTGTGTGGAGGAGTCTTCCATGCTAAATGTGTTGGCTTTTCTAAGTACGAGGTGGATGCCCTATTGAAGCACCCCAATCTAAAATTCCAGTGTGATTCGTGTATTGATTACATTAAATTGGCGCATAATAATTACACTGAATTAATAGGATTGATTAAAGGCAATGAAAACAAATGTGCAAAACTTGTTGAAGAAAAAATGAATATGGTGAACGAAACGGTAAAGCAAATTAAAACAGCCATAGCAGGCCAAATTCAAAATAAAGAGAGCCGTGTAGAAGTAAGAACAAGCACATATGCCGACCAAGTGAGAAAGCCAATAGCGGGAAATGTTCCTGTCATATTGAAGCCAAAAAGAAACCAAGAAAGTGAAGTAACGAAGAAAGAAGTAAAAACAATAATCAAACCGTCGACGTTGAGTGTAGGTGTGAGCGGAATATCAAATAGGCAGAATGGAGCAGTGGCAATACGGTGTGAAAGTGAGGAAGCGAGAAAAATATTAGCGAGCGATATTAGAGAAAAAGTGGGTGAAAAATACGATATACAATTACCGAGCATGAGAAAACCGAAAATTTTAGTATGTGGATTGAGCGAAATGCTTGACGGGGAGGTAATAACACAAGCCATAAAAAACCAAAACAATTTGCAAGATAGCTTCATCAAGTGTAGAAAAGTATATAGATCCCACAAGAATACAACTGTGTACAATGCATTGCTAGGAATTGATGGTAAAGGGTTTGAGAAAGTAATGAATACGCAAAAGTTAAATATTGAATGGGATAGATGCAAAGTATATGAAGCTAACAATGTTCTAAGATGCTATAAGTGCTGGGGTTTTAACCACAAAGCCGCCGTTTGTAAAGAAAGTGAGCAAACATGTGCCAAATGTGGCGAAAAAGGACATATACACCGGCAGTGTAAAAATGATTTTCTGAGGTGCGTTAATTGTGTAAAAGCAAAAGAAAGATT